GATTTCCAGTTCATTAAAAAGTGGAATTATTGCTCGAGCTGTCGTTTGTCAAAAAGTCCATGTTCATTTTCATATACAATTGCGGTTCAGGTCCGAGCTGCGAATGACTTTTGAGTTGAGGAGCTGCTTGAGGCTGTGGTTGGGGTGCTCGACAGCTGAATTTAAAATCTTTAGCTCGCACGTGCATAGATAATATCCCTGCAAAGTTTCAGCTTTCTACCTTGCCTGGTTCGCGGAATCGTTTTTTCTCGCCAACATATTTTTTGGGGGACCCGTACGCAGGGTCTAGGCGCATATAGGGGGGAACATCTTGAAACGGGAGGATGACACACGGGGTGGGGACATATACCCAAAGTTTCAGCCTCCCAGCTTTCCTGGTTGCTGAGATGAAAGTGGGTGACAAAATGCACTCGCTGGAAGTTTCAGCCCCCCAGCTTTCCTGGTTGTCGAGTTGAAAGTGGGTGACAAAATGCACTCGCTTTTAAACACACACACACGCACAGGCAGCCTCTCGACAATATACGTTTTTGATGGCTGTGGCAGCGCTATAGCGCTGCACAGCAAAAACGCATAATGAATAATTTCACCGGTCCCGCAATGCTTGCCATTAATCTTTTAATCGAGATCCTACCCTAAATCATATTCCACTCATGGAATTACCATTGGTGCAGCCAAAGCAATTGAAAGAAAGGAGCAGTACTGAAAATTTCAGATTGTTACTATTCCAAAATCGTTCATTTAAATCATGTAAAACTTGAGTAGTTGCAGTGTATTGGTTTTTAGGTCAACGAATATTGCTGGCTGTTCGAATTTTAGCCGACACATACGACGATCAAAGCACATTCAAAGCATATGCTCGGGAAACGGTCAATCGCCACATCAAATTCAAAATGGATCCCGCGCTCTGGAATGTGCGTTTTATCGCCATTGTTAATCATATCAGTAAGAGTAATAATAATAATTACCCAGGCTGAAATGCATCAGGCTTGCTGGTGCGATCATGCGCTTTTGCACTAAACTCGCGGATCGTTAATAGCAGGAATGATTCCTGCGCTGTGGCCTAACATCTGGACTCATATTGGCGGTGCTTTGGCCTTTTTCGGCATGCAGGGGAAAGGGCGTCGACTGGATGAAGGTATTGCATTACAGGACCTCATGCACCTCCAGGCACATGATTGTCAATTTTTATGCGTTTTTTGCAGCTATGCAATGCAAAAACGCATATTGTCGAGGGGTTGTCTGTGTGTGTGTATGTGTGTGTGTGTGTGTGTGTCTATGTGTGCGTCTGTAACGAGTTTTCATCCTGAGATTCACAAGAGCTACAAGGCTGAAAATTTGGTGACTTAATTTACACGTACGTGCATGCTCGCATCCTCAAAATGGACGCTCAGGTCCGCGGGGTTCTTACGTAGGGGCACGTGAAAGTTTTTTTTGGCGGGAAAGCGTTTTCGGGAATGGCCCATGCTAGGGGGTTGGAACTTCACAGAGTTGTTCCTTGGCCGCGTCTAATCCAAAGATTTCAAATTCAGCCTTCACGCACCCTTCACGAATCACGTACGCATGCGTCAAAGTTTAAACTGGCATCATGCCAACTCCAACTTTAAGGCGATCAGTGAACTGCAGAGAGCTGCAATTTTGCAGCGTTACTTGATACCCACTGTTGTGTCCGCGAAAGTAAATTATTTGTCAGCCCTTCTGCATCTCACGTACGAACACGTGTACACACGTGAAATTTGACGTAACTCTGCAACCACAGCAGCTGGAGTGCTGAAACTTTCTGAGCGCTAC